TCCCATGAAATATGGCAATTGCTATTATATTATGAAGGAAATATTAGAATAACAGTTATATACTAAAAAGATACTTTCTTGCATCCTATGGAAATTACTATAGTTCCTGCATTTCATCTTTCACATACGTTTATTTATTTATTCTCATACATCACTCTGTGATGTAGGAAGGTTGAATGTGATCTTCATTTATAGATAAAGAAAGCAAGGTATGAGGAATGACTTGTTGATGGCCACACTAATAGAGGAAGACATGTCCACCAAGAGGTCCAGAGTAAGTAGAAGGAGGAAAAAAAAGCAAAGAAAACGTCTTCTGACTATAAAGTCTAGTCTTTGTGCATCATAAAAAAAAAAAAGAGAAGGAAATACGGTGGATTGGTATCACTACCATAATCTGAATTTGTTTAAGTAAAAGAATTCTTCAAAGAGACTAGATAGAAATTTAGTATCATAAGGAAGATAATACTACATAAGATAACTTCAATTCAGGTCTTTCCATGGCAGGACCTTTCCATTTTATATTCCTTCATACCTTCCCCCATTCCACACTCCATGCTATTCCATCACTTCAACACTTGCTTGAAAAAATTCAAAAAATTCAACTGTTTGTTCATTTTCCTGCCATCTTCTGTTTACTCCTTACTAATTTGAGACCTTCAGGTCATGGGCCTTCATTCCATTGGCCAGATAGTTAGTGAGATTTTTGGCACTAGGGAGGAAATAATTATGCAATACATTATTTTTTCCCAATCTTCTAGAAATCTTGAACCATTGAAGAAAGTAATTAATACAACCTTAGTGATTCCATTCCATTTGCAATGTTTTATCTTATTTTCTTTTTAAAGATTTTATTTATTTGACAGAGAGACAGTGAGAGCAGGAACACAAGCAGGGGGTAGTGGGAGAGAGAGAAGCAGATTCCCCACTGAGCTGGGAGCCCCATGTAGGGCTCCATCCCATGACCCTGGGATCATGACCTGAGCTGAAGGCAGATGCTTAACAACTGAGCCACCCAGGCACCCCTTGCAATGACTTTTATAAGTGAAAAGTGAAAAGCATGAAAGGAGAGGTAAATATCACTTCATCCAATCCTTTCAGTTTAAAGATGAGGGAATGAAAGTCTGGATAGGTTAAATGATCATTCAAAGGCATTCAATTTTTTTTAAAGTGATGATGCTTTTTAAAGATTTATTTATTTGAGAGAGAGAGAGAACGGGAGGGGAGGGGCAGAGGGAGAGAGAGAGATTCCCAAGCAGACTCCCTGCTGAGCGCAGAGTCTGTGCAGGGCTGGATCGCACGACCCTGAGATCACAACCTGAGCCAAAACCAAGAGTCAGTTGCCCAACTGACTGTGCCACCCAGGCACCCCCCCTTTTATTTAAGTGATGATGACTTTTGAAGATTTATAGGCATTCAATTTTAATGAAATTTATTTAATGAGTTCATGCCATTTTTAAAAATTGAGATATAATTAAATATAATATTGTGTATTTAAGATGTACAGTGTTGATGTGATATCTTTATATATTGCAATATGATTACCACTGTAGTGTTAGCGAACATCTCTATTACATTACATAATTATCATTTCTTTTTTGTGATGAGAACATTTATCTAGTCTCTAAGCAACTTTGAAGTATATAATTCAATATTGTCAACTATAATCACAAGACTGTACGTTAGATCTCCAGAACTTATTCATCTTCTAACAGCAAGTTTGTAACCTTTGACCAACGTCTCCCCAATTCCTCCAATCCCCAGTCCCTACCAACCACTATTCTACTCTCTGTCTCTACGAGTTTAGTTTTTTAGAGTCCACATATAAGTTATAATCATGCAATATTTTTTTTCTCTGACTTATCTCACTTAGTGTAATGCCCTCAAGATCAATCTCTTGTCTTCTCACTAGTGCTTTTGAGTTCAGAGTGTTACAGTATGGTGATGATACCTAGACTATAGGTTCAATTTCCTCATCACAGTCAGCATGTCCCCAGGCCCACCTACACACATCTTAAAATCATAGGCTTGATGGAACTGGACATGTGATTCTCAATGGATAAGGAAGGGTAAGTTTATCATCACTAGTGGGAAAGAAAAGGCAAGATACTGCCTACTGAAAGTGCCATTAATATTCTGCACAAAGGGCATCATATGTAAAGGTTGAATCTCATAGAAAAATTACGTGTTGCCTATGTTTGGGACTTACATAGATTATAAGAAACATTAAATGAACCTATCCTTTCTCCCAACTAAGTAAAAGCATAAAGATAGTAGACTATCAATAAAGTGTTTTAGAATATATTTACCAAGACTGGGTCATGACCTGAAAGATATGGTCTATAAGGATTTGTGAAGAACATCTCATGGCCTAGAATGGTATAAAAAATGTTGAGAGTAGAAATGAAAAGCAATTGCCTCAACGCTGCCCCCCACACAGAGTAAACTTCACTTTTATTATTCAAACAAGATTAAACTTCATAACCATCTTATGGTCTTAAGTACTTTGTAATACAATCTTTGACACCATGTGTGATAATGAGGTATAAGAGGCCTATATATCCAAGTTATTTCAGAATGGGAAGACATTACAAATGTGAAGCTTCTGGATTAGATCAAAATCCCTGCAAACACATGAATTTATCTCTACCAATTCCCAAGATCCATTGAAATGATAGCAAAACATAAAAATAAAAGTGAATCAGTAATCATACTAGGAAACCTGGGAAAATGCTATATCATATTTGATGAACTTCTGGAAATTACAGTGCAGATGGAATGTAATTGACAGCAAAACCCAACAGTCCCAAAGAACCAGAGATAAACACAGAATAAAAAGTTAATTTATGACAAAACCCAAGATTCCAAACCATAAAAGAGTATCTCCTCTATTAAAAAAAATTACTATGAGAAAGATGCAATCAGAATTATTCTTGGACATTAGAAATGTATATAATTTGTAAACAAAACAATAAAGGGGTTGACTTTTTCACTAGTTATTTTAAGGAAAAAGTTAGCAATCTGGATTATCAACCTGGATATTAGCAAAATACAGGACAAAAAGACCAAAATAAACATGAAAGAAAAGTAACAGAAAATACTAACCAAAAACAATTTTCAGAATCAGAAATATGAAAAGGTAGAGTAAAAAAATAGTCAAGGAAATGGTAGAAGCACATTTCCTTGAACTTAAAAGATAATTTGCCAATTAGAAAAGAGCCTTTGAATGTTTTAGAAGAATAAAGATGGACCCATTTAAAAATCTATCAACACCAGTGGTAAAGAAAAAATATCACATATTTCAGAAAAGAAAAGAGAGGTTACCTGCAAGGAATAAAGAAAGACTTTTATGTGTCTTCTCTCTTACATATGGAAAATAACAGAGAACTGCCTAAAAAATCCTGAGGGGAAAGTTGTCAAACCCAAATTTCTTTATTCAAAAAAAAAAACTATCATTCAAATATGAGGGCAAAGAAAGCCTTTTAAGGAAAAATAAGTCTCAGATGCCCTCTGTAATTCCCAAGAATGTCCTCCAGCTAAGTGAAAATTAAATTCTAGAAAGTAGAAATCTGAGATATAAAACATATAATGAACAAAGACATTGAAACTTGTAGTAAGCTAACTGTTGATAATATGTGGTGAATATGATTTATTAGATAAAGATGCATAGAACAGATGAGGTACAGTAGTAAGAAAAGCCACTGGAAAAGAATTCAATCTGATTTCAACAAAATTGTTTGAAGATGGAAAACATGAGAGGAAAACACTGAATTACAACAAAGATCCTATCTGACCGAAAGGAAAGACTACTAATGCTGGTTATTTTCCGAACTTCTATGGAAAATTCAGTTTAAATGCTAAAATTTTTATTGCAATCAGTTGTGTCAGTTGAGAGAGGCTAGGTAACGTGGTGATAAGCAAGACCCATGGCTTAAACATGATAATAGTCGCTCAAGAACCCAGGCTGACAAAGCAGCCCCCATAAGCCACCACGTAAAGATGAGATATTGGGGGTACACTCTGCAGAGAAAGAGAGCATGGAGGGAAAAAAGAGAGGGAGAGCATGGGAAATCACATACTGACTCCCAAATGCTATAGCACATAAGTCATGCACTCATGCCCACTTTCAAAAAGGTGAGAAAGTGTAACCCTCCCTATACCGGTGACCACTACTAATGTCTACCACAATAGTAGACTAGAAATTGAAGGTGGAACCTCCAAAACTCTATACAAAATACAGTGAAAAATGTCATTAATCTAGGAAAAATCTGGAAAGAAAAAGAGAAAGTACAACAGAGAAAAGACGTGGTCTTTTGTTAGAAATAGCACCCAATAGATCAATGATCATACGAATGTGAATGCCCCCAATAAAAAAAGAAAAATGCTCAGATTGGTTACTAAATAATTAAAGAAAAGTCAGTGGAGTTTTCTTCCTGGGGGGTCCAGGTAAATGACACCAAAACTTGAAAAGGAACCGATGAGAAAAATAATGAAAGTGTGCTTGAGTAGAAAGAGAGAGAGGAGGAGGAGGAAAAGGAAGAGACCAGGCATGGTAATATTTGACACCAGATACTTTGCAATGCATGGCAGAATAAACTAAAGAGAACAGAGAGTATTCACACTGATTAGAGGTAAAAATCCACCAAGACTCTATAAGAAGTTATAATTTTTAATATACTATAGAGCAAATAATCAAAACATATGAAGCAAAACAAGTAGAATTTGGCATGATTAAAATCACAGAGGGTGACAATTCAGGGACACACAAATAGTAATAATATAGAGGATTTGGATGACATAATCAGCATGCCCGATGTGTGTATGTCTGAGAGATGTGTGTAACACATCATGTTAATACTCACGAAAATATATAGACTTAACTATTTTCCTTCTAGGAAGGGCACAACAATTAAAAAGGAAAAAAAAAAGACACAACATTAGAGAAATTTCAGTAACTTCCATGTACAAAGAAATGGAAGCTAGGTATAATGTTAAAGGTGGCACTATGCTTTTTTTTTTTTTTTTTTGCAAGAACTGGGATCTTTATAATGTTCCAAAAGTCCTGTTACAGTGGAGGAGTGAAATACACATGGGTCGTGGGCGTCAAAACTAAAGTTGTGATTCCACTGTTCAATTCGGGCATGCAGGGATCTGTTGTAGCGACGGAAGCTCACAGAGAAGAGGTAGTCCTCTTGCGCAGAGTCCCTGAGCAAGAATGTGCCTTCAGGTTTCCCTTCGAGGAGGGCTTCTGCTTCGTAACGGTCCATCACTCCCCAGTAACAGGGATTCCCTGTAATCTGAAGCAAGTCGGGCACAAGGCAGTGTATGTAATCAATCTGCGTATGGACTTTCCAAGCTCCCTGTCTGCTAACGTGGGCATGGCTGTCTCCAGACACCTGACGTTGCTTCTGCCTACGTGACTGCAGACACAAGGTGGTAGTGTCCTCTTCTGAGTCACAATTAGCTTGCGGAATTGCAGTACTGTCCCCACTTACTTCAGTCATTCTAGGAGCTAACTTTGGTCCCAGTTTATATAACGGATTAACCTGTGCGGTGGCTTCAAATGTATGTATTTGTGCATTGGGAGGAGGGTCAACCCCCTCTTCAATACTGAGCCGCCTTCTCTCTCGAAGCCTATCTCTTCATCTTCCGTAGAAACCAAGGATGGATCAAACGTATCGAAAAATGTTGAGTGTGGGCTCACAGGGGCTGTATGCTGTTTAATCAAATGCCATTTTTGGGCTAAATCTGAGCCAGCAGGAAAAGGGCATTTCTCAAGCATTAATTCAGAAAGGTGTATTTTCCTTTTATTAGAAAAGAGGGGTTTTGACTGCTTGCTGTAAGTTCTCGTGGGAAAACACAAGCCCACAGTGTCTCGCAACCTCTGTCTCAGAGAGCGGCTTCCCACCGCTCTGCTGGACACACTGTCCGTGTCATGCGCGGAGCTTACACCACACCGCCTCTCTCTCCTCTGAAGTCCGCTTCGAGTTCTACCAAACTTTTTATCAGTATCCAATGAACTCTGTGTCTTGGTAGAACAGGAATGTTTTTTCTTCCCACCCCACGGTGCATGCCGAGAGTAGGAATCTCTTCTTGCAAGTCTCGCTCCTGGGGTGACACATGAATCATTATCCTTGTCAATGCTTATTTCAACAATCGGAGGAATTTCAGCGGCGCAGTTTTGGTTTCTCCTTGAAGGATTCTTGGAAGGGCTTAATTCCAGTTGTAAGGCAACATTTTCTCTTAAGGGACTGCTTTGTTGCTGAGGAGCCAAGTCTCCTATACTGATGTTTCTCTCTTTCACAGACAAACATCTGCTGGAGTTCATGTCCACATTTTCACTACGGCTCCCTCCCTCGTGACCGAAGAGATTCTGACACCTGTATTTGAAGTTATTCCACATCTTCCCCACTTTATCCATTGATCATAAGATCGGTCGGGGCGCGCGGGGCGGCCTCATCCACGGGCACCTGCGGCCAGGCGGACGGGCCCGGACGTCGCAGTCACCGAGAGGGCGAGTCCTCCCGCTCGCCCGCCAGTCCCGTCCCGTCCCCTCCGACTGCCCGATCGAGCACAGTCCCGTTTCCTCTGGATGGAGCCCGGGGACCCCAGCTCTGCCGGATGCCCCCGCCAGGCCCCCACCCCCTTCCCCGGCCGCCTCCCCCCTTCACCCTTTCCCCTCCCCCCCTCCCCCCAACCCCCGGCACTATGCTTTTTATGACATGTCTTAACCTCCGTTCTGTCAATCAAATAAATTGACATGAGATTGACATACCAACTCCACGTGTTTGCATATTCTCATTGTAATTTTTTTAAAATTTTGAATATTTAGGGATAATTCTAGTTTAATCTATATAAGGGTTTTAAAAACATTATGAATGTATTACTCTTTTTGGGGGGACACCAGTTAACAAATCCATTAGCTTTTATATGTAGATGTATTTTGATTATTTTACTAGTCAATTAGTTTTACTATATTCAGAAGACACAGAATTCCAGATAATTATCACCATCACATTATTTTCTAAACTATAACTTTTGTTTTAAAATCTAAGTTCACTGCTCAAGCTATGTCAAAAATGAACTGACAAGGCCAAAAATATAAATGCCTACAGGACAAGACAGGTGAGTGATGCAGGTCAGCTGTAAGTTCAGTGGTAAGAACCCTGGAAAACTGAGTGCAGGTGCCTCATCTTAGAGGGAAGGACTACTACTTCTCAGTTCCAACCAATTGTCACCATGCAGAAATTGTCACCATGTAAAAATCAGGCCCATGTGGTCCCCATTTTCTAACATACCAAAAGAAGCTAGAAGTCAGAATTTTGTGTAAAATTAATGTGCAAAAAAAATCAATATAATTTTTTTTAACACTGCACAAGAAAAAAAAATGTGTAGGGTCTAGATTGAGCCTACACTGCCAGTTTGAAACCTGGCTGTTCTGGGTATATAGATAGACATGTTTATCTCCAGGCAATCACAGGCATGAGTTGACAATTAGTACAGAGAATACAGGATAGAAGGATCACTGCAAGAAAGTTTTAACAGTTAACCTGCCTGACTATTACTTTATTCCCTTTCATTCTCCACAGCTAACAGAGTCATGTTTTGAAAATTCAAGTCTCATTAGGTCACTCCTATCGATAAGCTTGCAATGGTGTCCTACTACTGTAGGAACAAAGACCAAAGCTCTTAATGTACCCCATGGTCTCCGTGGTCCGCATTCTGCCTACTGCCCTGGCCTCATCTCTGACCTCTCTCCCTCTAGTTCTGTGTGCTCAACCTTACTGCCTCCTTCCGGTTTACCAGACATTTTCTCGTTTCTACATAACATTATACCTAGAAGCTTCCTCTAATTGCCACCCTATCCCTCTAAAAACCCTCCAGTTAATACCCATTTATCCTTTAGCTCATAGCTCAAACATCATTCCTTAGAAAATTCTTCCTTGATACTCTCATACTGGTACCCCATTATTTGCTCTCACATGACGGTGTATTTTTTCCTTCCTGAGCACTTACTATACTTTAAAAATCTCTCCCATTAGTCTGTAAGCATCGGGAGTCAAGGGATGTATCTGTTTTGTTTGCCATTATCAACCCAGCACCTAGCACAGTGTCTAGTAAATAGAGGGCTTGTACAAAATGATTAATAAATGAAAGAGCAATTGAGTTGTGATGGGAAAGCTATGGTTTTTATTAGCTTTTATAGGTCAAGCATGATTCTGGCCTCTATATCTGCAATGAACTTAGAGACAGAAGAGAATATTTAGAAGGGAAAAAGTAAAAATGTCATTCAGATACAAGGACAGATATCCTTCTGGTGTGTTTCCTACCTTTGGGAAGATTTTATTAGATGTTATAAATAAAGGATATAACCAAGGGAAATTTTTCTAGACAGATGAATTTGAATTAATGTAGAAATAAACTTAAGATGAAGAGTGTCATGTTTTCACAGTTAATAAGAAATATATCATTCAACATATAACAATAGATTTTAAAAAGAAATGAACATCCTGCAGCATTAATGGCATTATCTGTTAAGAATTGTATTCATTTATTTTGCACTAAGCCTCCTTCCAGGATGCCCTAATGGACCATGAAGCAGTAAACATTGAGACTTGAATAAGCACTCTCCCCTCAATCTTACTCTTTAATACCTTTATCCTTTTCTGTGCTTGAGTCTGACACTTTATTCACTTTCTCATTTGAACACCTACATCCATCAGTTTGGGGAACCCATTCTTCCTCTTCCTTGAGGACTTTATATGAAGAATCACACTTAGTTCTACTTACAGGCATGCTCAGAGGGTAAAACATGGACTCTTTATGCTCTGGTTGGAGAAGAAAGCAGGCACTTGATGGATATCAGCAGCAATTTTCCAATGAGAATAATATTCTTGATACTTTAGAAATGAAGCTTTCAGAAGCTGATTCTCTAGGTTTCGCCAACTTGCTACTCCTTGATAAAAACAGAGTTTTAAAATCTTTGCTATTGTGTTATGTATTATGAACACCGATATTTCAAACATTAATATGTCGCTTGCGATCTTGTTTGTACTTTGTATCTTCGGCAGGTAGCTCTAAGGCCTCTTATGATTTAAAAAAATCAGATCATTGTGTACTTTATTCTGTTAAATAGATTGAAAACTTTCAAGTTGAAACCTTAGGAAGTTATTCTCCTTCCTCTTAGGGGACTTAACAGAAGGAGGTGAGAAAGGATAGGAAAACTGTCAGCTCTATTGATGGTCTTTAATTCATACCTATATGTTCCAGGTTAACTCTTGATGATAGCTCCTTAGAACTGGAGTGAAACTAAAGTCATATTCTATTCAGGAAGCCTCTATATACATTGAGAAAAGGTTTACTAAACTCTTACTCTCTCTTTCAAAGAATGATAGCAAAGAAAAATGGTCTTCAGAAATTTCACTGGTACTTTGAAATTTTTTTTTCGCTTGAAAAAGGTATTTTGAAGAATAAATAAGTAAGTGTAGGTACCACATATTAACAAATAAGTAGCCATCATATTCCAGGATTACACTACTAACACCTACTTTAGATTGCTTTTCCAGTGAAGGTGAAGGATTTGCATGACCCACCCGTTGCTTTCTCGGGGCACAATGTGTAACATGTGAACATCACCTAGAGAGCATAAGGCTATGATTAGGGATCATGTAACAAAAGAGAGGACTCTAGGGTAATTAAGTTCATGGTTTTGATCTCATTTTCACAACATACATTCTCGAACCAAAATTTGACCACCAATGGAATGGCCTCTTACCATCTGCTTGTCTCTTACCAGTTAAAATAGTGAATTTAGCCCTGAATCATGCAGGGTTGTTTTTTTCCAGTTACCAAATTATGTATGCTAAGACTCTCCAGTACTGAAAACTGTTATCAGCTCCTTTCCAACACCCAAATGGAGTGGCCTCAATACCACTCGACATTAATAAGGGAGAGAGGAAAGCATTTGAAGCAGCAGAATGCCATCAATGCCAAATTTTCAGTGCATTTTACAAACAGACTAGCAAAAGATGGAGCTCTTTTAGCTCCTGTTCCATGCAATTATGCCTACAGATGGAGAAGTTGAGGCAGCATGAATCTACTTTCATTGACATTGCCTGCACTGGGGGGACAAACACAGGGAAGTTCTCAGGCACACAGACCCTGACATACACCCAAGTTTCTGCCTTCTAGTTCATGTAAGCCAACTTCCAGTTCCACGTACCTCAGGTCCATATTAGGCCCTTACTTCTTTGTGCAGTTATGACTTTACTACAAGTTACTAAAACCTGATCTTACGAAGAGGAGCTAAGGTAAAACCCAACTGACTGATTTTTAAAAAATATTTTTTAAATTTTGATTTTACTGTCTTTGCACTTTTTAGTGCAGAGACTGACTCTACTTCAGATTACTTGTTTCTAAAATATGATCAAATCTTTTTGTTAATTTCAGTTTACTACATTTCAGAAATAGGAATCAAATGCTTATATTATCTTCTCAAATGGGACTAAAGGCTTCTGTGATGGATATCTGATAACCTTTTTTTACATTAAACTCCTGGTCCCAATTCATTTTATAGCTACCAAACAGTCCTAGATACATATATGATTTTATTTTATTTTACTGAAAGAAGATTTGAAACCAGATTTTTAAATTTGTCTCCATTATTGCAAATAACAACTGATTGCCTAATCTCCTTATTTTGATGCTTATTTGGTCCTAGGGTGCAGTAAATTCTATTTGCAGTTAATTCTATTGGTACATTATGCTATAATTATCAATTATCAATCCCTGCAAGATTAAGATAATATTCAAAGACAAAAATAAAGAAGAAATGTATTTAATGATGGACAGACTATCCCCCGCAGCTAACTCATAAATGAACATCACTGGTCACCATGGAAAATGGGCATGTAATACTAATACCTCAGTAATACTAATACCTATGACTGGGAAGGCAGTCTTAGGCTCAGGGCATACAGAAGATAGATTGGTTGTGCTACCTTTGTATTCAGAGTACACCGCACTTCATTAGTTGACCATCTATGTTAGCTTAGTTTCAGAATCAATCATGCTAATGTTGGTATATAACTGGATGTGTAGAGCAAATTTCTGCCCAGGAAACTCTTATTCTTTCATTCTATCTGCAAAGCCAAGTTTCAGAACTAGTTGTCATCCATTCTCTTTTTTTTAAAGGAGCAATTCATTATGATAAAATTTATTGTACCATTTCGCGGGAAAGTTTCTGAAATGCAGAAAGTAGAACAAACTTGGGTTTCCTACTTTTGAGTTCATACAATTAGTCCAGAAGCTGGATCTTAAATGGCAGAAGACAATTTTCATAGTTTAAAGAGGGAAGACGGTAAATACAGTTTATCATGTTCTTATAATTCTTTCAGAAACATGTGAGGCAATGTGAGGACTACTGTGAATGGAACAATAATCATAAAATTAGGAACAAAAGAATCAGACAGAACAAAGCCTCCCCCCCCCTTTTTCTCCTTTCTTTTTTAGGATTCTAAATCACATACAAAACATTTGTTCTGCTCCAGCTCTTTGTGAACTAATTGGCTCTCCTGGAGGGATAGGTAATTGTACCTGACTACACAAGCTGTCCCGAAGCTCCCTTG